GACATCCTTCTCCGGGGAATGGTCCCTTCTGACAACATGACCAAAGTAGGGGAGACAAAGTCTGGCCATTCTCGCTTCCAAGGAGCATTCTGGCTGCACTGCTTCCAGGACAGATTTGTTGGTTCTTCTGGCAGTCCATGGTACTTTCAGTATTCTTCGCCAACACCCCCACTCAAAAGCATCGACTCTTCTTAGGTCTTCCTTATTCATTATGCAGCTCTCACATTCATATGAGGCGATTGAAAATATCATGGCTTGGTTTAGCTCATCTTAGTCTTCAAAGAGATATCTTTGCTCTTCAGCACTTTAAAGAGGTCTTTTGCAGCAGATTTTCCCAGTGCAATACATCATCTAATGTCCTGACTGCTGCTTCCATTAGTGCTGATTGTGGAATCAAGTGATGCAAAATTTTTGACAACTTCAATCTTTTCTCATTATTGTGAGGCGATTTTTGTTTTCTTTATGTTGAGGTGTAATCCATACTGCAGACTATAGTCTTTAATCTTCATCAGTAAGTGCTTCAAGTCATCCTCACTTTCAGCAAGTGAAGTTGTATTGTCTGCATATCTCAGGTTGTTAATGATTGTTCCTCAAATCCTGATACCTAATGATAAGATTTACCGAAAAAAAAAATTCACCGCAAAATGGACCATTGTAAGTGCCATTCATTGTAACTCACATAGGTCGTATGCTGGGGACTGCCTGTGGTTGAAATAAAATTCCAGAGCAACCAGTGTTGGAAAGTCCTCACCACCCCTCCGACAGTGCCACCCAGTGCAGTCTGAATCCCCCTGCCCCTCCTGGTGACGCCACTGCTCATGTTAACAGATCACATCATCAAAGAAAAAATCGGCTGCTTTCACAGCCGCAGGGTCAGGACATCTACATAGCTCATCGGGGAACACCATTTACTCTCTTCTGTTTAGCCTGTGTGTTTGTCTGTCTCTTTGTTAATACCACACACTCTGCTTTACTCTCTACAAAGACAACCCAAGGCGGAGTTGCCCCACCTGCCCTCCCCACCTGCACCGCACTGGGCTCTTCCTCGGCCCTTTGAAAGGCATTGGATCGCAGAACTTCCTTCTGTGACGCTGGTCCTGCCACCTTGGGATCCCCTGCCAAGGCACAGGCTCTTCTGGGCCTGAACGATTGAGGGCCCCTTCCTGCACAGCATGCCTCCCTGGGCCTGGCTCTGCCACGGGGGGATCAGGGCCCCAGGTGTTTGCAGAGCGTGATACAGTGTCTTGGTTTGGATGACGTGACCTCTCACTTTTTCTCATCTCCTCTCTTTTATGATTCTGACCTCATTTATCTTCCAATCTGTGTTCATTTCTGTTTTCTTGACAAGGCGTTCTCCACATCCATGAAACTCAGATCCTTAAATGACACTCTGATTCCCCCACATTGTCCTCAGCCCTGGTTTCAGCCTAGCTTCTGTGTCCACTGAACCCTTTTCAAGGTGTAGGCTGGCTGGGGGCCTTGTTTGCATATGAATGAAACTTGCCATTCCATCCACAGATGGTCACTTTCTCCAGCTTCCCTGGGATCTGCTGTCCAAGGAGTATCAGCCCCTGGCTGCTGATCCAGCAGGAAGAGGGAAAGCTCACTATGCAGTCAGAATGCTCTTCATGACTTTCTGAGAGTTAGGGGGCCACTTGCTTCCCACACGGTGGGGGGCTGGTGGTCTGCTTACACACTTCCTTGTTTAAAGCTTGCAGCTGTATCCCTGAGGCATGATAGAAAAGTAACCTTTGCACAATCATTTTGAAACTCAGTTTTATAAGCTTCCCAATTTCAAGCAAGGTGAGTGCCAAAAGGACTTGGGGGCAGCATCCTCTGACCGCCTCTGACATCACAAGGGGGAGACAGAATCACCATCAGCATCCACAGCCCAAGGCTGGTTCCTAAGAGGCCAGACACGCCACCACCCTCCAGCCTTTCCACCCACTCTGACACCAATCGTCCTTCCCATGGCAGTCACTGCTTCTCTGCAGAGTTCAATAATTTGTTGCAATGGCCACACAGAACTCACAGACAACTCTCATGGTTATGGGGTTTGTTAGGGAAGTAATAGGCTACAGTTCAGGCTCAGGAATGCTCAGGACACAATTCTTTGATCAGGACAATCTCCCCTAGGCCATGCCCTCAGGCACGCCTCTCTTTGGCCTTCAGCCTCTCCGCCTGGCCTCTGTCCTGCTCAAGCAAGTGTTACAAAGTTCTTTTAAGTCTGCCAATAGGTATCCCTAGGTGCACCCCACTCTGTCAGCAAGCCTCCTGCCCAAAGGCACTCAGCTTTCCGCTCAGTGGGCCGGCAAGCCCGCTGCTCTGTCTTCTGCTTCTTGGTTCTACTGTTGCTGTCTCTCTGCCGAGTCTCAGCCAAGGAGGTCCAGTGCAGGGATCTGGGGTCCAAGAGAGCTCAGGTCCAAGGATGTACTTCACTTCACCTCTGGCTCTTCTCTCTTGATGACAGTAAGATCCCCCACTTCTGCTTCTAGGAGGGCTCATTTTAAGCCCAGCAGAATGACAACACTAACCAATCTCCCACATGAGAGCTCCATCCACTTTATTTGCACAGTCCTGGTGTAGTGCCTAAGGCATTTGACTGCTAACCAGAAGGCTGGCGGCTCAAACCCACCAGCCACTCCTCGGAAGGAAGCTTGGGCAATCTACTTCCATAGTGATACTGCCTTGGAAACACAAAGAGGGGTTATTATGAGTTTAATCAACTCAACGGCAGAGAATTTAGGTTTTTTTTCTTGTTTGGACCCCCAACAAGGATGCCTTGGACCTGTTTATATTACTAACAAGCTATCCAATCCCCTTGGACCATAAGTACCTCACATTTGCATAGTCCCATTCAGCCATCTGGTGGGCATCACAAAGACCATGGCTGGAAGAGCCAGACCAAGTAATTCACTGCATACACTGGGGCTGCTCTAGTTCTGGTGAGGTAAAGTTAGAATTAATGAGTGTGACTGTTTTTGTCATAGAAGGCACACCTTGGAGACTCCTAATTTCCTGTCTTGATTTTAAAGTCCGTATCTTCTGGGTCATTTTGGTACATTCCACATAGGTGAAGATTTAAACAGGTGATCCCATGGCCGGTGGGTTTGAAGGTGGACAAGAGTAAGGGTTTGGATTAATTTTAGAGTGGCTTTCACTGTGGCTTCACGTTACTAACAAACCCACAAGGCAAAGGTTGAACACCAAAGAACTTACATGGGCGTGACTGCAGTCCTCTGCCATGCAGTAAAACATTGGTGGGTGAGATGGGGTGAGGAACCCCAAACACGGGTATCTAGTGATGAGGGCATGGGGCCTTCCAACTCTTCAACTGAAAGCCTATGTCCATCTTGAGGGACGGTGCCTGGGAAACGCTTGGGAAGGTGAGCGGGAGTAAGGACACACAACTCCTTTCACCCGACGGGGGTGTCGCGCTTTCAAGCTTTGCGTTTCTGGCTGTCCTACCCCCCCAGCACTCCGTGTTTGTTCTGCCCAGCGCCTGTGACTGTCCTCCCTCCCCCAGGAGGCTCTGCTCTGCGGCCGGCTCGCTGTCTGAGGAGGAGCTGCTCAGGATAAGGCAGGAGGCCCAGGGCTGCTTCTCTCAGATGGACCGGAGCTTGGCCCTCCCCAAAATCCGGGCCCGGGTGCTGCTGCAGTACTGCCAGGCTGCGTGGCGAGAGGCCGAGTTCCTGAAATTGGACCGAGTTCTGGCCGCCCCCGAGCTGCAGGTAGGAGGGAAACCGGGTCGACCCCTTGACTGCAGAGGCGGGACCCCCCCGAGCTGCTGACCCTGTGGGACCTGGCCCCACCCACCTCCCCGGGGTGCATCTCATCTCACCCTCCTTAGCCATCCTCTCCAGCCGCCTTGTTGATAGTGGCCGTGGAGTCCAGTCACACTCTGGCCTCAGCTGCCTCCTCTGTCCAGTGGGACATTTGTGCTTAATGCTGCGGCTTGCACTGCTGTGACCCCCAGGGTTTTGATTGGCTGGTTTGGGAAGGAGACCACCAGGGCTTCCTTCCTAGTCTGTCTCAGTCTGGAAGCTCCACGGAAACCTGTTCAGCATCGTAGCCACACCAGGCCTCCACGGACAGACAGGTGGTGGCTGTGCACGAGGTGAACTGACCGGGAATCGAACCAGGGTCCCCTGCATGGGAGGCAAGAGTCCTACAGAGCCACTGCTGCCCCCAGATGGGCCATTGGAACTCAGAAGCTCGAGCCCCACACCGAGCCGAGTGTTGTAAATTACTGTGTGTTTGCTTTCCTGAGAGTGGGCAGTGGGGCAGGCACTGGAGACCTGGAGGTCTTCTCATGTATTGTGACAGCCAGCCTAGGTGACAGCCTGCGAGCCTGGGGGAGGGTGGTGGGCAGGCCTGAGTCCAGGACTATGGCTGCCTTGGGGGATCATGGGACCTCAGTGGTGCAGTGAAGGAGAGGAGCGAGGGCGGGCTGGGTCGCTGAGAGAGAGGGAGTCCAGCCCTCACTGGCGATACCACCCCGCGTGTCTTTCACTGAGCATCTTATGTGTACCATGTTGTGCCACATTCCTTTATGTGGTGCTGTGTTGTGTCAAGCCCGTGCTGTTAAATTGCAACATTATGCTACATTGTTTACTTATATTCTGCTACATTGTTTACTTATATTCTGCTACATTGTATTGCAGCATGTCCTTATGATATACATAAGTTACATTGTTAGGCTGTGTTGTGTTACGTTGTTCTATTCATTGCCTTATTGTTACATCATGATATTATTATACCCTGGCAGGAGTCTTTGGGTGGTGCGAACTGTTAAGCAGGGCGTTCTGATTTGGGAGGAGGCGGTGATATCCGACTCTACTTTCTGAAAGTGGAGAGAGCAGGTGTGGGGCTCTCTCTCCATCCACTGTTAGGAATGTGGGGGTCCGCGTTACCTAATGAGGATCTGTCTGCCCCCAGAGGGCGATGTGCTTCTTAAATCCCTGGGTGGTTAATGTGCTCAGTGGCCAAATGAAAGGTTGAAGGTTAGCATGTACCCAGAGACGCCCGAGAAAGGCCTGGTGGTCTGAAAAATCCGCTACTGAAAGGAGCTCTGGTGGCACAGTGCCAAAGGCATTTGACTGCTGACCAGAAGGCTGGTGGTTCAAATCCATCAGCCAGTCCTCAGAAGGAAGGTTGGGCAATCTACTTCCGTAGTGATACCGCCTCAGAAACCCAAGGAGGGATCGCTATGAATTGGATCTGACTCAACAGCAGTGAGTTTTTTTTTTTTTTTTTTTTCTGTTTGTTTTTTTGGAACAACAGCTCTGGTGGTGTAGTGCCTAAGGCATTTGACTGCTAACCAGAAGGCTGGCGGTTCAAACCCACCAGCCACTCCTCAGAAGGAAGGTTGAGCGGAGGTCTAGGTTGGGGTCTGCTGTCCGTCTGATGCCAAAGCCCTGGCTCTGCCCTAGGCTGCCTGCCTCTCCTCTCATTGGCGAGCCCATCAAATCTGTGAAGACCAGAGACCCTGACACTGAGCTAGGCCCTGACGCCGGCGTCCTTCCTCCCCAGTCCAGCCTGGGCAGGGCCTCTCGATTCCGAGAGCTGCAGAAAGTTCTCGCACATGGCTGGGGGTGCTGCGGGGACTCCCTGGTGGCCCTTCTCTTGCCCGGGTGTCCTCTGTCCTTCCAGCAACCGTGCAAAGGGAGAAAGTCGCGTGCGAAGAGGAAAAGCAGAGCAGAGCTTTGGAAGAAGGGCCTGGAAGAGAGGATCCACCTGCTTGAGGAGCAGGCGTCTGAGGAGCTGCTGGAGAAGGTCAGTGTCCTGTCTCACCGGCTGTTTCTCGTCGCCTGGGCGGGGCTGGCCCCCACCCGTTAGCCGGGCACACACGCCTGGGGGCTGTTGCATCTACCCAGCACCAAGCCCGTCACCTGTCACTGTTGTTCACTGCCGCCGAGTCAGCTGCTACTCACGGTGCATCCACGCACGGGGAGCGAAACACTGCCTGGTCCTGCACCATCCCCGTCACCGCGTGCAGACCGAACCCGTGGGACCCATGGGTTTCCACTGGCCAATTTTTGGAAGTCCTTAGCCGTCCTTTCTTCCTAGTGCGTCTTAGTCAGAAAGCTCCACTGACACCTAGTCAGCATCATAGCGACATACAGACCTCCACGGACAGACAGGTGGTGGCTGTGTGTGAGGCACCTTGGCTGGGAATCGCACCTGGCTCTCCCACATGGAAGGCGAGGATTCCCCCACCGAACCACCACCGCTGCCCCCATGTGTACTGTTAACTTGTTGTGAGGTGCTGTCAAGGTGATTTCAACTTATAGTGAGCCCACATGACAGAGAACTGCCCCGGGGGTTTCCTTGGCTGGATTCCTTTTAGGAACAAATTGTAGGTCTTTCTCCCAAGGAGCCATGGGATAGGTTTGAACCCCCGACCTTTGGGTTAGCAGCCAAGCGCTTAAGCAGTGTGCCACCAGGCCTCCTTGCCCTGAACGACCGGACCTGCACATGGGCCCGTTCCTTTCCCTCCCTACCTTTGCACCTGCCCTTCTGTCTTCTTCCACGGCTCCATCTGGAAACTGCGTCCATCCTTCAGGCCTCATGGCTGGTGCTGCCTCTGCTGACCATGGTGGCCACCAAGTTTCTGCCTGGTTCTGTCCTGAGTTATATGTGGGTGTCATTTCACTCACAAATCCTTTTTTTCTCTTGTACAAGGCATCATGCCCTCCTGGGCACCCCTACAAGCAGCCTGGCGGCCCTATCCAGCCCCATCTCTCATTGTTGTTGCTGTTGTTATGTGCCGTCGAGTTGGACCCGACTCATAGCGACCCCTCCTTGGGTTTCCGAGGCAGTATCACTATGGAAGTAGATTGCCCAACCTTCCTTCTGAGCCGTCTCTCATTACTCCCTGCTAATTCTTTATGTCCCAGTGGTAACTCAGTGCTTTTGTATGCTCTTCCCTCTTCCTAGGACTCCCTTTTCACCCTACTTTATATGGATCAGTGAGTTCTGTCCTTTGCTGCCCAAAGGTGTCGCCTCTGTCCTCAGGTGTTACCTCTTCCAGGAAGCTTCCCTGGATTTACCTGGGCATCTAGTTCTTCCCACTTGTCTCCCTGTGCCCCCAGCTTTCTTCCTTAGCATAGCAGTTAATGCATTGTTCGTTCATTCCACAAGTGTTTTGGGGAGACAGCAGTGTTGCAGGCACTGGGCTAATGAACTTTGGGGTACAGCAGCACCTGAGACACTTTTGGTGCCTGCTCTCGTGGGGCCACATTCCGGTGAGGGGAATGGATAGTATCCATTTAAATAAATGGAAGTTCCAGGCTGAGATCAGTATGTTAAAGAAACAGATACGATGAGGTTCTTAAAGGTGGACTGGGGCAGCCATGGGCTTGGCTGTGGGTGGGAAGGTAGGAAGGGCCTCTCTGAGCAGATGACAGGAGTGACACTGTGTTCTCACTGCCTGGGAGCCTGTCTGTGTCCCCAAAACCAATGCAGTGCTGTCAAGTCCGTTCTGATTCATGGCAACCCCACGAGTTATGGGGTACAGTGGAGCTCTCGGGGTTTTCTTGATTGTCATTTTTACAAACAAATTGTCAAACTTTTCTTCTGCAGTGTGGCTGGGTAAGTTGAAATCACCCAGACACCTCTGTCTCCCCTAGGATGCAGCAAAGAAGAGAGCCCCAAGAAGAGTATGTTCAGTGCGGAGATGTGTTAAGCCACCTTGAAGAGCCACTGTTTGTGTTCCTACCTTCTGTTCATGGCCGAGGCCTGGTGTTGACATATTTTTCAGTCCGTGTCTTCTCAGGACACACATCCGCAAGCCAGCGAAGAGCCATGGCAAGTGCTCTGGGCAAGGCCAGATGCTCCTTCCAGGGCTGCCTGCTTGCTGACAGCTTATGGAATCCAATACATAGTACCTCTGTTCCCCTGTAGTTCTGCAAGAACTCGGGAAATAAGGCAAGGAGTCTTATTAAGTGACAGTGTTCAGAGAGAGGCTGGGGCAGCAAGTCCCTTACTGCTAAAGGCATAGTCGGGAGATGCAGGTGAGTGTGAGACATGCTGATCAGCCCAGAGTAAGAACCAAAACCAAACTCACTGCCATTGAGTCCATTCGGACTCATAGCGACCCTCTAGGATGGAGTAGAACTGGCCCATTAGGTTTCCGAGGCTGTAATCTTTATGGAAGCAGACTGCCTCATCTCTCTTGTGGAGTGGCTGGTGGATTTGAACCTCAGACCTCCCGCTTAGCAGCCCAGCACTTTAACCACTGTGCCACCAGAGCTGCTTACTTAAAGAAAACTGAATTTTATTCTGTTGGTCACCTGTATCAGTGACTCTGGAAGGTGGAGACGTCCCCAGGTCTCTGGTTCAGTCACAGTTTACAGAGAGCATGTTTGATTGCGATCAGCCAAGCTTATAATGCCATGTGGCCCCGACGCACGGCACACCTGTATGTAACGTGGCTCGGTCCTGTGCTGTCTGCGCAATGGTTGCATGTGTGAGTTACTTGGATGCTACTCTGTTGTGATCCATGGGGTTTTCATGGACTGTTTTTTGGGAAGTCCCTTGTCAGGCCTTTCTTCCTACTCTGTCTTGGTCTGGCAGCTCTGCTGAACCCTGTCTACCATGAGTGACCTGATGGTACTTGAAATACTGCTGGCCTAGCCTCCAGCCTCACAGCAACCCGCAGCCTACTCAGTGCAACAAGCTGGCAGGCGAGTGGTGGGGTCAGTGCTAGTAATGACATAGTAATACTAAAAGCAGAACTCTCTCCAATGGTTTGAATTCTTGTCAGATGCTTTCCATGAATGTCTCTAGACACGTAGCAATGTTGTAGGAACAGAGTTTCAAGGCCCAGTTTAGGTTCATAAAAGTTAATTTCCCAGCCCAGGGTCCCAGAGACAGGTGTGCGATGAGCCCCACCTTGGCCTCACCTCTATAATATGTCCTACTTCACACTGATGTCTTTTTCCCATCTTCTTGCCTGGAGTCACAGGTTAGTTCTTTCTTCTTCAGCAGTATAAATAAGGAATCCAAGACAGACTAAAAAAAAAAGTTCTAGAAATTTCTATGAAATGTATGGTGTATATGGTGACGGGCCTGCATTGGCAGTCCCTGTGCACTGGGTGGTCTTGACCAGTTGACATGAGGGACAGAATTGCCAGCAGGTTATGTGTCTTGTCCAGGGCCATCCGGCTATCAGGGATGATG